GGGCGATCGTTCGTCCGATATTCTCATCATGTGTACGGGGCTTTATTGTCAAAGCTTAACTGAACAAGCTGAATTTAGAAGCTGATTGGTTACCATGCACAGCTGCACCAGATTCTGTGTGTACTAGATTTAGTAAATCTCCACAAGGGCATCTGAGATGTCATCACTGTTTGCTCTGCAAAACACAAGCATTTTTTGCTGCTTGTCTGCATAGATCAGATCTTGGAAGGATCATAATTTAATATAACAACACTGATAAAACCAAACACCACCATACGTTACATACAGAGCAGAGCAGTGCAAAGTTTCAGAGGGTTGTGGTCCTCTTCTGCAGGACTTAAACTACACAAGTCCTGGGTAGCAGCCAGCAAGATTTGGAATTTGTCAGTAATTTATGAGGCAGCAATGTTAGAGCAGAATGTTCTCTACAACGCAGACCTGTCCCTCATGAGCGACAGTGAAAAAAGCTACAGGAAAGAACTTTGTGTTCCTCTGTCAGATCATCCAACAAACCGTGATGTTACATGGTTCCATGCCTGTGAAGGTGAAGGTGTAGAGATGGAAAACTATTAAAGGGATGTTATTCTGTATTATACCAGTTATTAGTAAAGCACAGGAAGATATTACAGCACCATTTTTTTGTGTGCAGCACACATCTGTGTGTGGTGGAGAGTATGCACTGGCAAGGTGCTTTGAGACAAAGGGCACCGCAGCGCACTGTGTTTAATGTGGCATGGTTCATTCAGTAAAATGCACATTTTACCGCATGTCACCACAAAGAACAGGTCTGATTAGAACTACAGAGGCTACAACTCACACATGTTTGTATTCTTAAAGAAAACAGTGGACAAAGCACCTTGGTCTCGTGATATACAGAATGTACTCGTAAGAGGAAAGGAATGAATTGCTTGTAAAATCCATGGTCAGAATAAAACAGGCTTGGTCAGATCAGGTTGATATGTCTTCACATAAATCAAAGCATTGACTGCATTCAACAGCACATAGTATGGATAACGTGGTTCTGGGGGCACACTCTGATGAATGACCTGCGACCCATGTAGTACATTAGCCCATTAACCACACTATATGTACCATTTGGCTTTAGTCGTCATTTGATTTAAGTAAAGATTTTATGAGCTTGGCCTGATTGCACCTATTTTAGCCTGACTGTGGATTTTACAAGCAATATGTTCCTTTACTCTTGTGAGTACCTTTTTATAAGTATTTTATAATTACCAAGTACATATTTTTATGACAATGCAAAATGAATAGTATTTATCCAGCCTTATTGTCTCTTCTCATTTGTGGCGAGATCACACAGGGGGGATTTACTTAAACTGAAGCACTCGGAATCTGGTGCAGCTGTATATGGTAGCCAATCAGCTTCTAACTTCAGCTTCTTCATCTAAGCTTTGGCAATAAAACATGGAAGCTGATTGGTTACTATGCAGAGCTGCATCAGAATTGGACTCTCCAGTTTTAGTAAATAACCTCTACAGTGTCTGTATGGTGTAAGATGTATACTGAGATTACATTGTGTCTGAGTGGTGTAAGGAGGAGACTGGGTCATCAGCATCTGTAGCGTGAAGAGAAGATTTTGGGTGGATGGTGTCAGTTATGAGGAGGAGATTGGGGTATACGGTGTCTGTATTGTGTAAGGAGGAGATTTTGGGTGGACGGTGTCAGTTATGAGGAAGAGATTGGGGTGTATGGTGTCTGTATAGTGTGAAGAGAAGATTTTGGGTGGATGGTGTCTGTTATGAGGAGGAGATTAGAGTGTATGGTGTCTGTATAGTGTGAAGAGAAGATTTTGGGTGGATGGTGTCTGTTATGAGGAAGAGATTGGGGTGTATGGTGTCTGTATAGTGTGAAGAGAAGATTTTGGGTGGACGGTGTCTGTTATGAGGAGAGATTGGAGTGTATGGTGTCTGTATAGTGTGAAGAGAAGATTTTGGGTGGACGGTGTCTGTTATGCGGAGGAGATTGGAGTGTATGGTGTCTGTATAGTGTGAAGAGAAGATTTTGGGTAGATGGTGTCTGTTATGCGGAGGAGATTGGGGTATATGGCGTCTGTATAGTTTGAGGAGGAGATCTGGGTATAAGGTGTCTGTATGGAATGAGGAGCTTGGGATATATGGTGTCTGTATGGAATGAGGAGGACATTGGGGTGTAGTGAGGAGGAGATTGTGTTAACACCGCAAAAGTCACCTTGCCCACACTTCCTTTGATTTAAATTTTGGGGTTTTTTTTTACAAGGGTTGTTGGCTTAGATAAAGTGCAGTTGGTTGTTTTATGAATGCATTGGGCCTGTGTGCAAAAACAGAAATTTAACCCTACTGTGGGTCCACAACAATGGACAGCTATTATATCAGATTTGCCGCATATATCCCCTCTTACATCAGAGTTGTCCTTTACATTAGAATTCCCTGTCATAACAGAATCTCCTCTTACTTTCTCCTTTATATCAGAGTATCCTTTACCATCAGAGCCCCTTCTTACATCAGGAGTCTCCCCCTATATCAGAGCCCCATTTACAACAGTCTCTTCTTACATCAGAGTTATCCTTACATTAGAGTACCCCCTTAGATCAGAGTCACATCTTACATCAGGAGCCTCCCCTTACATCAGTTTCCTCTTACAGCAGAGTGACCCCTTATGCTAGAGTCCCTTCTTACATCAAAGTGCCCAACACCACTTAATCACTAGGGAACATCAATCCCTCACTGCTAGATAATACGTATTTTCCTGTATCAGTACACACAAATGAATCCTCCTTGCAAACTCCCAGATGCATTGTATAAAACATACTGTATTGCACAATATTCTTTGTGGTTGGTCAATTATAGCATCACACAGTAATCTCCTCCATTAAAATTCCTATAGGTGAAGTCACGATATTATGTGTCTCATAGTCATTTGCACCCATTAAAGAGTGACATATTGATCTTATTCCAATTAAGACCATATCCTGTACATTTCCTCCATCATCTGAACCGTATGCCTTCATTTTAGATTCATGAGAGCGCATCAAAGGTAAAATTCACAGCTGTGATCAATTCATTAGAAACTGCAATCTCTTCAGTAATTGTCACCAACTATTATGTAGATAAACCAGTTGCAACCCTTTGGATGTAAAAGGCTTCACAACAAAACAAAGAGATCCCTAACCCTAAAACTCATAATTAAGAACTTTTCCTTACATTCAGTCCTTGTAACAAGGACCACCAATACAAACAGTGAATCTCCACAGGGGGAACAGAGACAGAAAATAACCTGACTGGGTGACCCTTCCCAACTGCTTCCAAAATGTAAACAATACACTGACCGGCCACTTTATTAGATATAACTTGCTAGTACTGGGTTGGACCCCCTTTTGCCTTCAGAACTGCCTTAATTCTTTGTGGCATAGATTCAACAAGGTGTTGGAAACATTCCTCATATTGATATGGTAGCATCACGCAGTTGCTGCAGATTTGTCAGCTGCACATCCATGATGCGAATCTCCCATTCCACCACATCCCAAAGGTGCTCTATTGGATTGAGATCTGGTGACTGTGGAGGCCATTGGAGTACAGTGAACTCATTGTCATGTTCAAGAAGCCAGTTTGAGATGATTTGAGCTTTGTGACATGGTGCATTATACTGCTGGAAGTAGCCATCAGAAGATGGGTACGCTGGCACCCGGTGTGGTTTTCTGCTGCTGTAGCACATCTGCTTCTGAGATGGTATTCTGCATACCTTGGTTGTAACAAGTGGTTATTTGAGTTACTGCTGCATTTCTATCATCTCGAACCAGTCTGCCCATGCTCCTCTAACCTCAGCAAGGCTTGTTCTTCCACAAAACTGCCGCTCACTGAATATTTTCTCTTTTTTGGACCATTCTCTGTAAACCTTAGAGATGGTTGTGAGTGATAATCCCAGTAGATCAGCAGTTTTTGATATATTCAGACCAGCCCATCTGGCACCAACATCCATGCCATATTCAAGGTCACGTAAATCCCCTTTCTTCCCCATTCTGATGCTCGATTTGAACTTCAACAAGTCGTCTTCACCACATCTAGATGTCTAAATGCATTGAGTTGCTGCCATGTGATTGGCTGATTAGCAATTTGTGTTAACAAGCAATTGAACAGGTGTATCTAATAAAGTGACCAGTGAATGTATTTTGACTTTAGATACACTTTAAAGCAGAACTAAAGTCCCCTCTACTCATCTCTGCTCTACCAATGTGGCATCTGCAAACTCTCCTGCAGGTGCCATAATCTTCACTCAGTCTTCTTCCAGATTCAGCATGTGCTGTGCATGGGAGTGATACTGTCATCTCAGCACCAAGACACGTTGAACCTGCACATGTAGCCGGCAGACTAATTTGTTTTCTACACATAGTTCAGCTTTAAATAAAAGTGGGAGCAGTCAACAGACTATCAAGATTTAGAATAGAAAATAATCTGCGTTTTAACAGATTTACAAATTCAGAAGCTGTAACAAAATGTTTCTTTATTGAAAAACATATGAAAATTCTGACTACCGAATTCTAAAATTCTGGTACAGCTGCGATGTTTTATCCACTTGCTTACCGGGCACTTATACCCCCTTCTTTACCAGGCCAATTTTCAGCTTTCAGCGCTGTCGCACTTTGATTGACAATTGGCCGGTCATGCAAAAACTATACCCATATGAAAGTTTTATCACTTTTTTCTCACAAATAGAGCTTTCTTTTGGTGGTATTTAATCGCCACTGGGCACTTTACTTGTTGCCCTATAAACAAAAAATTAAAAAAAAAAAGTTTCTTTATTTCTATTATAAAATTTTTCAAACAGGTAATTTTTCTCCTTCACTGATGTGTGTTGATGAGGCTGCACTGATGGGCACTGATAGGCAGCACTGATAGGCAGCACTAATGAGGTGGCACGGATAGGAGGCACTGATAGGCAGCACTAATGAGGTGTCACGGATAGGCGGCACTGATGATGGGTACTGATAGACAGTACTGATAGGTGGCACTGACTGGCATCACTGCTGGGCACTGACTGTCGGCACTGCTAGGCATTGACTGGCGCAACTGCTGGGCACTGACTGGTGGCAGCACTGCTGGGCTGCATTGATGGGCACAGGTGGGTGTCACTGGTGGGCACAGGTGGGTGGGCACAGGTGGGTGGCACTGCTGGGCACAGGTAGGTGGCACTTCTGGGCACAGGTAGGTGGCACTGCTGGGTGGCACTGGTGGGCACTGCTGGGCACAGGTGGGTGCAATGCTGGGCACAGGTGGGCGGAGCTAGTGGGCGGCACTGCTAGGCACAGGTGGGTGGAACTGGTGGGTGGCGCTGCTGGGCACCGATCATCAGGGCACTAATCATCAGAGCCCTGATGATCAGTGCCGATCCCTGCTCTGACAACTGACGGTTCTCGGCAGTACTTTCTTCACGCTCTGGCAGCATGAGGAAAGTGCAGCCGAGAACCGGCAATTGCATTTCCCGGTGATCAGCATGTCATTGGAGACGGCTAATCACATGGTAAAAGGCCGCTGTGATTGGCCTTTTACCACATCACATGATCTGCTGTGTCCATAGGACACAGCGATCACGGAGGGCACGCAGGAGAGCGCGTTCTGGGAGGACGTCATATGACGCCCTCCCAGAACTAGCTAGCCACAGTGTAGCCATCATTCGGCTATCTGCGGTTGGCAAGTAGTTAAGGAAAAGAATTACCACTGACCTTTTCCATAGACCTGGTTTTAATATTGAATAAAAACAAGGAAGGAAGGGGTGACTAATATGTATTATCCTCGGCAGGGGACTGTTTGTTGGATGTACCAGGCACTACTCTGGACCTTCCTCAGGATCTTCCCGGAACATCAGCTCAATACGATTTGGACAACCAGTGTCGTCAAGTTTTTGGCAAAGAGTTCTGTCACTGTCCTAACACCAGGCCAGAAGATATCTGTGCCCAGCTCTGGTGTAAACTCCAAGAGGATCAAGCCTGCCACACCAAAAATGGCAGCCTTCCCTGGGCTGATGGGACACCCTGTGGGGATAGCCGCGTTTGCTGGGATGGAGTCTGTCTGGAAGATGAGGATGTTCTTAAACCAAAGGTAATTTCAAAACTGTAACCCTGACACTTTCCAATTCTTGAAACACTGCAAGCATCACCCATCATTGCCAGAAGATTACGAGCAAATATATGACTTTAAATTATATACTTCATCACATAGTGGTCACTACACTACAGCCAGGAGTTTCCAAAATGAAATATGATGACTCAGCTTAGACTTACATTCTATTCTGTAGAGGCACGTTAATGGGAAATGGCTAAAATCTCAGAACTAAACATTAGAGCCAAACACTGCAAAATCCTCTACCCTTTACTCATGATGATTCATTTCTCAGAGGAAATTACATCCAGTAACTGCAATATAGTAACATCACAGCCAAAATGAATAATGAAAAATATATTTTCAGTAATGATTGAGCATGTTATAACTTGTTGCATTCTTCATCAATGATTTGGCCAACTATAAATTATATAGCTGAAGTTGCAATTCCGACTATTGTGCTACCTAATATAAAATGCCAGTGTTATTTTCTCTTTCCTGTTATAACATTTTTTATTTTATATATACAAGCAGGAATTCTTGTATACTTTCCAAAAAATACTGCACATAGCTTTCATTTTGTCTCTTATATTTTTTTTTTATAATTCTTAAAGTAGATATGCACTCAAAAACTAAAATTGCATATAAGCTTTAAAGTGTTAGTTCACCTTTGTAGAAACCTTTTCCCACTTTGCAGGGCTTCTGGGATGGTTCAGAAGCTGTCCCAGAAGCCCTAGAGAATGAAGGAGGAGAACAGCAGGGATTTTTAATCCCCAGACTGCTACACCGGCTGTGCAGGCACTGACAGTGCATCACCCAAGGAAGGTAAGTACAGCGGGGACCGGGGAGGTGGGTAAGGTATTAGTTCTTCTATTCACCGACACTTTAAGAGTAGGTGTAATTTAAAAAGCAATTTCAAATATTTCTCATTCTGCATCTTTCAATAAAATGATCCCTGCTGATCCTGCTATGAAGGGTTATGCTCAGGCCCTTTCTGTTACAGGGTGAGGATGTCACTGTCTCTCATTCCTGCTCCTGTATTATCGCCCTGTCACATAAGCCTCTGGAGGAGACTACAAGCAACTGTGTCAACAAACATTGTGCCGACTGGGTTTGATTGGGAAGTCTTTCCAGAGCAATGATGTGCCCCAGCATCAGACAAGGGACTGAGCCAGGGGCTAGTGCACAAACTTTAGGCTTGCCTACTGGGTGTGCTATTTTAGGTCTAAGATTATAATTGTGTATAATTCTCAAACAATGTAAATTGGGCTTGAAATTAACTACAATTTCTTGTGTGATTTTTGTCTCCTAGGTTCCTTTGGATGGAAACTGGGGACTTGGGGTCCCTGGGGCGAATGCTCACGGAGCTGTGGAGGGGGTGTACGTTTTTCCTATCGAGATTGTAACAATCCAGAACCTGAGAATGGTGGCAAGTACTGCCAAGGCCAGAGAGCCATCTACGAATCATGCAACACCCAGGAGTGCCCCTTGCAGGGTAGGCATATTACCATCTACCTGCTTTCTCCTGACTTACTACCCTAAAGTACAATTAAATCCTAAACTAATATTTCTCTCTCCTGTCATAGTCTGTACCTAGCTGGTGTGTGATAGTCTCTTTTTAAATTCCTCCATACTTTTTTTGACTGTGAAAGTCCAGCACCACCTCTCGTCTCTGTGCCCACACAGTACCTGCAGCTGCATCTCCAATTATATCAAAATCCCATTATGCCTTGTGCTCCTTGTGGACCTCAAGCTGTTTTGGAACACTGATATTAGCTTGTAGTCCATAGGAAGCTGCTCAGAGATTGTTGTCACCCACCTAGGATCGGAAGTCTGAAAAATGGCAGAATTACAAGGTAAAAAAGTAAAAAAAACTTTAAAAGTGAAGAGGCAATAGTTAGATTGCTGGAACAAGCGACGGTTTTGCTACTGTCTTATTGATTTTAGTTTTATGTGTGTAGAATAGATGTTCACCTTTCCAGTATGATTCAGTCTCTAAAAGAAGGTTATTGCAAACACCGACTGTAAAATACCCTCCAGAATAGAGTGTAGCAACTAGAAAAATCTCTGTAAGCTCCAGGGAAAGATACTACTACTGAAAATAATTTACAATATAAATGTGCAGGCAAGCCAGACCCAACTTGGCTTTCCAAGCTTTAGTGTGTCCCACCTTACATCATAAGGTACAGAGTGTATGGTACAAAGTGATTTCACCCGGTCACACTGCTGGAAGACACATTCATACTCCCCTCTTCCTGCACAGGCCTGCACAGGTTCCAGTCTCAGATTGGTTTTACCTGGATTCTCCTCACCTGTGTTATATTGTGTTCATGTTTTGCAGAGAAGAGTTTCCGGGAGGTGCAGTGTGAGAAGTACAATGCCTATAACTTCACAGACAGACAAGGAAACCTCATTGAGTGGATTCCTAAGTACTCTGGTGTCTCCCCACGGGACCGATGCAAGCTCATGTGCAGGACACGTGGGGGCAGTGAATTCAATGTTTTCCAACCTAAGGTGAGATTTTGTGAACTATCTGCACTATCATAAGGTGGCCTCGTTCGTCTATCTGTTTGAATTACATGCTACTAATAACTGAATAATTAAACCCACCCCACAACTATCCTTTTTTTCTCTCCCCTGACACTTTTTATTATTTATTTATTTATTTATTACAGGTACTTATGTAGCGCCGTCAATTTACACAGTGCTTTACATATATACTGTACATTCACATCAGTCCTTAACCCTCAAGGGGCGTACAGTCTAAAGTCCCTAACTTACATTCATACATACACATACAGGACCAATTTAGACAGGAGCCAATTAACCTACCAGCATGTCTTTGGAGTGTTGGAAGAAACTAGAGTACCCGGAGGAAACCCACTCAGGCACAGGGAGAACATGCAAACTCCAGGCAGGTGGTGCTGTGGTTGGGATTCAAACCCTAGTACTGCCAGGTGGAAGTCATAACCATTTAGCCACTGTGCTACCACTTGGCTTACAAACATGGTCATCTGCCGACAAATTATATTTGCAGAGATAAAGTATCAAAAGGCAAAACTGTGTTTTAGTCTTGGACAGAGTAGGGAGGGTTAGAACACCTGTCATTTTTGTTCTATATTTGCTGGGAAGATTTGTTCTCTCAGTTGTTACCAGGACTGAAAGTGATGGAAATCTGAAATTATACACTTGTCATCAGAACAGTAATAAAGGAAAAGTCTCCCAATGCAGACATCTGTTCTGGTGATTACAATCTAAGCGCTGCGCGAACTGTTGGTGCTTTATAAGTCCTGTATAATAATAATGATAGAGAAATTGATTGTAAATCTGTCCAATGGGGACAAAGTAACAGAAACATTTTTCCTGTAATAAAGTAGTAAAGGATTGCAACCTCTGCCAGGTTTTTATTTCTGTATGTGCCTCTCTGTCTCGGTGACATCTTCACACTTAGGGTTTTTGCCTGTGTCAAACAAAAAATACTGAGCAGAGAACTACTAAATAGAGTCAAAGACAATCATAAAAACCCAATTGAGGACTTTCCCACCATATTCCATGATTAGAAAGCCTGCAGTGTGGCTTAAACCCCATAACTGTTCTTTATATCTTTCAGGGACCCTGATAAGCAGATCTGTAGTCTTTCCAGGTTTGCCCTCCTTTGATGCTAGCTTGGAGCCAGATCATCCAGGCAAACCAAGCAGGAGCTGAATGCCTCTAGAATATACAGTAGAATGCTTCTAGAATATACAGTATATCGCATGTGTATGAACAACAGAATTATGTAGTAAAAAAAAAAACAGACATGCTTGATGATATTAAATATGTTTTTTCTTGCATGTACAATGGATAAATCACCATTTACTATCAATAAGTATAGTATTTAACATAAAAAAAATAATTTCTGCTGTTCTTGACATGTACAAAATGTTGCCTGTGCCCAGGGGCATAACTACAGATAATATGACTCCAAAGCAAAATTTCAGTGGGGGCCCCATGGCGAAATCTCTTTGTGGAACCTAGCAGTGTCAACTGTTACAACTGTAGCAAGTCCACTGCTGTATTGAAACTGATTTCTCTCTGTTCCCTGAAAACTTAAGCCTGGTGCCCATGGGACAAATATCGTCCGATATTGGCCGCTTCAACAGAAACTGGCCGATATTTGGCCCGTGTGTACAACAGCCTATCCGACAGAAGATGGCTAAATGTCCTGTTTCTGTAGAACAGGCATGCTAGAAAAACATCTGCTAAACGTTCGCAACCATTGGCAGTCCTCCTGTCAGAACACAATAGCTCAATGGGGCGATCACTGTACTAACAGTTATGCCTGGTACACACTATGAGATGAGCGAAAAGGAGCTCGGGAGGAGGTCTCTGTACTAACTATACGATGTTCCTGACAATTATATGAATAAACACATCCCAGGAATCCCTTTAGATGTGCATACTCCCTGGGTGGTGATCTGTTAATCAGTTGTTTGATTACAAATAAAGCAACTGATCAGCACACTGCACAGCTAAAGCAGTGCCCATGGCCAGTAGGGAGAAACATATATATTTAAAGGGATCCTGGGGATATGTTTTCTCGTATAACGCTTGAGACTTTGTTCACACAGCAATGGAGAGCTGCCAAAGCCCTTTACCACTCCAGCAGCTGTCTGTTGCCAGCTGCGGTAGGGGGCAGTTTAGCATATCACATGGCTCCTTTTTTTTTTGCACAAACTTTATGTGAAGTATACAAAATGTAAACTTCATTCATAGCTATTTACAGCAGCATGATGCAGAGCGGTGCTGTACATTACCATGCGATTCGGCATAGTGCGCTTTGATAAAATGCAGCATCTCTACATTTTATTGCAGCATGCTGCAGCGCAGCTCTAGGTTGCATTTCAGTGTGAATGGGACCCATAGCACACAATTGTTTCATTGCATAATGTGGTAAAACATCTGCCACCACAGTATGACTGCTGAAAGAAGATCTGAGGAAAGGTGATGTGCTGTTTACAAGAGCCTGCCTGCCCCTCCTACCAAACTCAGTGCAAAGGTCAGCAGAGAGACCCAGTCATGAAGTCACTGGGTCTCAAAAGAAGTATTTCCTGAAAACAAAATTATTTGATTTCAATAATATAATTGTATTGATAATCCTGGGGAAGGAGTGGGGCAGTGGGGACAAGGGAAGGTATTATCTACAATCTGCAGTGTAATCCCTAGTGATCCTGCCATAAAGGTTCTTGTGTGGGCACTTCCAGTTAGGTGGTGACAACTGTCTCCCTACTGTGTTCTTGTAATAGAGACTTCAAGTGGCCATTTCAACAAGCTTGCTGTCATTATCAGGAGCCATTCCAAGGCAATGATGTGTAGTCAATGCTGGAGTGAGTGCATGTAAACAAGAAGTTGCTGAAAAGGGATGGAGGAGATCAGCAGCAATGAAATAATAAAAAATGTAAAAACAGGATTTCATAAAAACAAAAAACATGGCAATTGTTTATGATAAATGGTGCTTTACTGCATGTCATCCAGCTAGGGTGTATATCTACTTTAAGGCTGGGTTCACACTTTTGCGCTGCAGGAACGTGAGCATTACCACAATGTGCAAAAACACAAGTTTTGCGCATTAAGATTCTGCAGTGCCATTTATTCTTAATGTTGCCCCAATTCACCTTGCCAACAGACATGCGTTGTAGCAAAGCCCAATGCATAGTAAGGCACTACTGTCATTTGTTGTGTGCTACAAAAAAATGCACCTTTTTAACACATTTTGGTGCTTTAGGCAGCCAATTCAAACGCACTGGCTGCCCTAACAAAATGCCCGTTAATGTGCAAAATAACTCGCATCAATACACTTGTGTTAATGCACCCAGGTCAAAGGTCTGTTCACACTTGTCAGTTTCCCTGCAGAAGTTTGCAGCTTGAAAACACATTTCCAGTACTAATCCTACTACCACTACTAAAAGTAGTTCTTTCCTATTCACTGTATTGTAGTGTGCAGAGTGATAAGATAACTAAATAAAGTGTCTATTGTTTAACTTTACAATTGAGACTTAACTTTGGAAAGTGGCTTGATGCAGAGGATAGAACTACAGTTTGTATTTCTGGCTGAGTTCCATATTTAAAATATTATCCTACAAAAAAAAAAAAAAAATTATTAAATGCAAAATTTCAGACCCCATGCAGGTGTAGTATGGTGGCTGCAAAACAGTCAGAGCTCAACAATTACCCACAATAACATCTGGAAAACATTTACACAGCTCTTACATTAAAACTCTGCTGAATGTCAAGATCAGAATGTCTTATTCAGTTATCCAGATTACTGCACATAGCAATCTATTACATCAGCCTAGATGTGTGTCTGTGTTAGGGAAAGCTCACTAAACAGGCTGTTGGAATCAACCCAACCTGAATGTAACTGCAAGTTATTAAGTGCATATAGGTTAGAGAGTGTTAAAGCCAAAACCTAGTTTTTCTTATATATTTTGGAAAGAGTTAGGACCCTTGTTAGTATTTTTTTTATTGCTATCTGTGTCCAATTGGGGAGATTTCTCTTTACTTTCTGTCCAATAGCCACAGCAGGAAATGTGACAAAAATCTTCCCAAAGTGAGGGA